CTGTGTAAATATATTACATTGATAATAATCAGACACCAATTTACACTGAAGATATGACACATTGGTAACACATAGCACTTCATAGCACATTGACCATATCCTTGTACACTGTACGTCATATCCGGAGTTAATAATTCAACATTTTCTAATTGAATGTATGACGACTTGATACTGGCAAGGTGTGTCCCAAATACTCGAACCTAAAATATTAACAAGATTCAGTGTAAACTACAATTGCAGAAATGAGTATTAATGGTCTTTATTGATGCATTTTAGGGCATATTTTGACGTTATGACGCCAAATAGTTTGTTTACATCGGGACGGAATCGTAAAGAATCATCAATTTCTCAAGTCCAGACTATTGATAACAAGGTGTTCGTTTGATGGACGGAAAGGTGTAGATTTGTATCTATCACAGGAAATGTTTATATGTTAGGCCTGCCGTTCTGATTCAGCAGAAAAATCACACCAAAAGCGAAATATGCCGTAGGTAGGGAACAGTTCAATGCGACTGTAAAACTATATGTGATCGAACGACGACTAGAAAATGTACCAGGTGAAAGTTGCTACTACAAGAAACACGATAAAACGTACCTAAAACAAATGAAAACCATACGCGGCCAAATTGCTTTCCAATTGTAGGGGCGTCCACCGTAGATCCCGTACACTGAGTTCTTATTAGCCAATATCATACCAAAATATGGAACGACAGCTTTATCATCAAAGGATCGCAGTTTGAGCCAGGTAAACTATAGTCGTTTTTTTTTTTATAAATCTATCAACTTGTTGGGAAATCATCACCTACAGCACAGTTAGGACGCCTTTCAGGTGTGACATGGCTATTGGGGAGTGTTGCCAAAATTATTAATGTGGAATGGCGAGGCCCACTATGGTCCTTGATATGACTATTTACAAAGATCCTATGATCAGCATGATTTTCCTGTGCTAAAATTCTAGTTCCTTACACCACGTGAGAGGACAGTTAGTTAGAACCCATTAAATGTGATGGGATCGGCATGAGACCTCTGTTGGACGTCCCTACTACGCCCACATAGATCTTCATAGTTTTCAGTCATGGAAGGCGCCGTTTTAGTTCATTAACTGCTATTGATGTATTGCCATACTGTTAAGCCATTGGCGTTTTGTTTTGTGCTTTGGTTTTATATGTCAGCGACCGATGTCGGCATTAGATCGTCAATGGCCGCAGTGTAGCAGGGTTCAACAACGTTGAAGAAGTGTGAAATGTATTGGGTAGAGATAGAGGCTTTAATTGTTAAAAGCCTAATTATCGTTGTCCTATTAGTTAGCATTAAGCTCACGAGTTACGTCTAATACTTTTGTAAAATTGAAATAGAAATTCCTCGCGTCTGCAAAAACATGCAACTGCAGTGCGATGTTTACGGCAAGTTCTAACGTTCTATATTGTGACTTTTTATCGGCAAGTGACGAACTCCGAAATGTCGTATTTGGACAATATGGATACATGGAATTTACAAAGTATATTATTCAATTTAACACCCTACTTTTCTACTGCTGATGGGGTTATTGAAAGTGATGAATTGGCTAGGGGTACTTGACTTACAAATAAAACAGATAACAAGGCTAAACGGATGTTGGATTTCCATTATGAGCAGCTATAGCAAATATGAATAAATATTTTAAAATTTATCTTGAAATTGAGCTGCTAAAGCAAATTTTAAAACTACCATAAATTTTGAAACTTACCTCACACAATACTAGAAACTCTCTAGTGCCCGGTTGACCATTAATAGTAATTCTTACATAGCGACCTTTTATTATCTGTTTACAATTATACATTACAGTCTTTCCCATGGCTCCTTTACCCACATGATAGTAACAAAGTTCGGCATCAGAAATAGACTCTCCTTCTTTATAGATCATAATAGAATAATCGTGAGGCAAATGTCGAATATCTGTAAGATGAAGAATTATAGAGGTTTACAGACACGTCTATTAGTATAACCTCCACTGTATTACTGTATCCGTTCAATGGAACATCGTAAATTTCAAATTCGTGCAAGATCTCATCAATTCAAATAATAATTAACCTAAAACTATGAAATCTTTAGCTTCTTTTTCGCTTAAAAAACTATTTTGACTAAATGCGACTAATTAAATAAATTCTTAAATTGTCCTCATTAATACAAATAAGGTTTTATCTGATTCAGATAACAAATATATAGGTTCTGTCGAGCTAACTAAAAGTATAGATTTGTGGAGGTCACGGCTATTGAGTGGGATTCCAAAAAATATCGCTATGCAAACTTACTTATGAGGTATTTTGTACCACTACTTGTGATGTAACATTCCCACCTACTACTACTTGTCATGTATCATACCCACCTATCACTACTTATGATGTATCATACCCATCTACTACTTCTTGTAATGTATCAGACCCACCTACCACTACTTGTGATGTATCAAACACACCTATCACTACTTATGATGTATCATACCCATCTACTACTTCTTGTAATGTATCAGACCCACCTACCACTACTTGTGATGTATCAAACACACCTATCACTACTTATGATGTATCATACCCATCTACTACTTCTTGTAATGTATCAGACCCACCTACCACTACTTGTGATGTAACAGACCCCCTTACCACTACTTGTGATGTATCAAAATCACCTACCACTTCTTGTGATGTAACAGACCCCCCTACCACTACTTGTGATGTATCAGACCCACCTACCTCCACTTGTGATGTATCAAACCCACCTACAACTTCTTGTGATGTATCAAACCCATCTACAACTACTTCTACAACTACTTGTGATGTATCAGACCCACTTACTACTTCTTGTGATCTATATAACCCACCTACCACTTCTGTTGATGCATCAGACCCACCTACTACTACTTGTCATGTATCATACCCACCTACTACTACTGGAGATGAAAGCGATCGTGATGAAAGCGATAGTGAAGAAGAGATTAAAGGTATGATATAATCTAGTTTCTAAATTGTCAATAATCAGTAATTGAAATCTCTATAGGATGGTTACTGGCATTTTTGGGATTTTCCTGTAACGTTCCTCTTCAGTTATTATTCTAAGAAATTGAAAACAATTTTATATTTTTAAACAGGTGTAAGACTGAACAAGAAGAGGTTCTGAAAATTAAATGACATCAACCAGTGGTAAGTTTGTATGTTTCTAAACTTTCTCACATGGGTATTCACATCTTTGTGCAATATTGATAATAGAGTCAGTTGCTTCCTCCATTTCTTTAGAATGTGATAATATGATGGCTTTGGATGCAAAGATGTGGATGTAAAGATTATATTTCTGCATATAAGTTGATTTACTCTTCTTTTAATTAAGGAATATGTAATAATAATAGTGAATATTTATTTACAGTGTATAAGAAGAAAGTCCGCAAGTGGTTAGAAGAGGATATTGAATTATTTAAGAAGGAATTTGGGGATATTTAAAACAGAAAAAATACCCTTCCTATAATCAAATAAGACAGTTTATGTCAAAGACACCGAGCTTTAAAGAGCGGTTTCTCGCTCAGATAAAGGCAAAATGTGTGCATCTCACACAAGGAAAAACATTATTAATTTTTGTTAATGAATTAACAGACTTTAAATATTCGAGATTCAAAAAGTTTAAAAGGGATGCAGTTGTTCGTAATATGTGATGTGATGTACCATACCCACCTGCCACTACATGTGTTGTATCATACCCACCTGCTACTACATGTGATGTATCATACCCACCTGCCACTACATGTGATGTATCATACCCACCTGCCACTACATGTGATGTATCATACCCACCTGCTACTACTTGTGATGTATCATACCCACCTGCTACTACATGTGATGTACCATACCCACCTGCCACTACATGTGATGTATCATATCCACCTGCTACTACTTGTGATGTATCAAATCCACCCACCACTTCTTGTGATGTATCAAACACACCTACCACCTCTTGTGATGTATCATACCCACCTACCACTACTTGTGATGTATCAAACCCACCTACCACTTCTTGTGATGTACTTATACCCACCTACCACTTCTTGTGATGTATCAAACCCACCTACCACTACTTGGGATGTATCAAACCCACCTACAACTTCTTGTGATGTATCAAACCCATCTACCACTTCTTGTGATGTATCAAACCCACCCACCACGACTAGTGATGTAATAAAGAAGTGTTTGTTACATATCTGATTTGAAACATTCAAGTTAAAATAAATTCTTATAATATTAAGACAACTATATCCCTTTGAAATCATGTTTGACATTTGATCACTTTAGTATTTTTTGTCATAGCATACAATTTTTTGAATAAAGATATTTTTGCTACATATTTTGATCCTTTTTACCCATTTACTATTTACAGATTTGTCATTATGCAGCATTTTTGTGATGTAAAGTATGAAAATACCTATCTTTGAATGTCTACCTTTGTTTTAGACAGAGCTGTTATCATAGGTCAAAGGGGGATAATTGGGCGTCCCTGTGTCTTCTTGTGAGATATATATTTATATACATCTATATATATATACATGAATAGTACTAGGAATCGATGCCAGTTAAACTTATAAATGGATTGAACCTACTTCACACGAATGGCATCACAAGATCACCAGGAATCCACATGGATCTTCACAAGTACAATGACCTCACAAGTATATATAATATAAAGACACAAATTCCGACTTGTTGTGAGGATGGTTCAATATATATATATATATATTCTATAGATTAACAATATTATCTATGCATGAAACACCTAGTTTGTAAATGTTGGAAGAAGATGGGGTTAAAATCAATGTAATACTGACTTTCTGAGTTATAAGTTACGGCCACAGAGTAGATGAAGTAGTCTTGAAGGATATCAACTTCCCACCAAGGTAAAGAATTGTTTGGGATGACAGCTGTAATCGAACAACTTAAGTGAATGGGCAATTTTCCATCTATACCACCAATCGCTCTGGATGCTACATATCTTCTATAAGTTTTAATTTGGCTAGCTGATTTATTAACAGCCACATTTACTAAACCACCGTCTGAAAAAAAAAACTGTCTACAGTCGTGTGATAAGTTTTTGGTCGAGAACCCATTCAGCTGTAATGTCATCATTATGGTAATAGATATGACCAAAATAGTTATCTCATCAGAATTGTTAAATATCGCTCTGATTCACTGGAATGTTTTGAAGATACCAGATTAATTATGGACAGATATTGATTTAAAAGGCAGGTGTAGTGGATATCATACCAAAGCGGCGATAAAATTATTGATATTTGGTCCGTGTTATGACTTTTTATAACTGCGGTTGTATGCATCTGAGTTATTTCAGGTAAGAGATATAATGAGCCTCCACATCCTACTAGATGTGATGCGTGTCCCTAACTTATTGAAATTGTAACTAAAAAAAAAAAAAATTAGGAACGCTAAAATTATCTAACTGGTTAACGTAAACCTTTATATTACGTATGTTTTTGGTTGATGTTGGAAGCAAAATCCAAAGAGAAATATTTCGCCTACTTATGTCTATATGACAACAAGTTTTCGTCTGTAATTTACATCGTTTTGATAATGAAAATCAGACTGTCCAGACAAATTGTTGCTATGCTATTCTCCACAGTTCAGAGAGGCGAACGGAGATGGACAAGGTAACTAGTGAAGTGCCCCGCCATGACTTCTCAATTACACCACCTACCGTTTTTTGTTCTCTCGTGCTTTTCAAGGAGAACTGACTTCATCTTTAAATAGTTCCAACAATATTATTTTAATTGACTAGATTCAAGTTTATTGAATCCTGGCACAAACACCCTCTCAATTTATTTCCATGTCTTTTCTTTTTTATGTATACCCCTAACGTCATTTGCATTAACATTCACAAATACTTATTCAGTTGCCTACAGTGTCATTGTCAAGGATGAAGTATTGCTCCATGAGTATTAAAGTACGTTTCCGTGTAATTTGTCCTTCATAGTGTTTTTTGTACTGTGAATGGACTTGATCTACCAGAGCGACAGTTTATGCTATTTAATAGTGCTAAGACATGTGTGATTGGGTAAAAACCAAAAACCAAAGAAATGTATTACTTACAACAACCCTTAGAGTCCCCATAGCTAATTTAGTTAGTGTGTTATATCTATAACACTCAGATAGTTCAATGACCCTGTCTCGGGACAAGATTGTCTCGGAGATGCGTGTCTAGAAACTATATTTAAAATAAGTGAAACACTGAGAACAAAATCAAAATCAGAAGTTTACTGGGTTTTTTTTCGCGCTTGCGCAACCCGAACTCATATGAAATTTCAACATTCAAAAATTAAATTTAGAATGCCAAAATTATCTAAAAGGTTAACATTCCTTATGTTTTTGTTTGATGTTGGAAGCAAAATCCATAGAGAAATATTTCCCCTACTTATGTTATATGACAACTAGTTTTCGTCTGTAATTTACATCGTTTTGATAAAGAACATAAAAATCAGACTGCCCAGACAAATTGTTGCTAGGTTAACGTAAACCTTTTACATTCCGTAACAGAATAACAGTAATAAGAAATAATTATTTTTGAACTGACAACAACAGACATGTTCAAAATGGTCGTAACCATCGTCAAAAATGATGTTTCGAGCCAATTTCCATGCCTGTATCATGATTTGCACAATTTTCTTGATTTTGCAAGCAAATGTCCCCCACTTATTGGGCAGATTCGACAAGTTTCCTTTAGTCGTTAAAAATATGACTTCAGATTTGCGAGTCACTTATTCCTAAATTTACCTCACCCATCCCATCCGAAACACTTAATCACAAGCGGTTTGATTTGTCAACTCCGATATAATGATGTCATTGATATCTTATAAATAGCAATAAAGCTGCATGACTGCTTAATATCATGTACTTACTGCATACATCTAGCAACAGGTATATCAAATACAGCCATTCCATTGTAACATCTTCTCTTTACGCTGACTGAGGATAGAATGAAAGCTTATGGATACTTGTCACTGAAGAAGAGGTGCTTGCCAGGCAATGTAACATACGTTAGCAAACGCTATAAGATCAATACCAACATGATATTGTTTTCTTTATCAAGCAACTTCCAGTTTCTGTCAGATGAAAACTACAGATACGTGCGATTTGCGGACAATATGTTTATACAACAATGTTCTTTACAACTCATTATGTTGTTGTTTTGAAAGTAGTCAGAAAACACTCAATTCAAAGTGATATAAATTACTTATAATTTTAACTATTTCGAAAATCTTAATTAAATTATAAATTATAAATCAATAATTGTTTGTTTTAACCCAACATTAGAGAAGCTTACAAATAGTTTTCTTATCGATTATTAGTGTTGCTTATTTTACTTGTGTTTTGACTGTTGGTAAATAAGTCGTCTCAGAATTAGACAGGTAGGGATATAGAAGGCGGAATGGGTTTTATTAAATGTTTTAATTCTTACATCTTACTCTTGGTCATTTTGGACAAATGTTTCACAAAACACCATTGATCACCGAACAGTTCGTACGCATCTGATTGCGCATGTGTGTCGCGAGATTTATCAGCCAGTTATAGAGCTTGTTTCTCAATCGCTTCAATGTAATACCATCATAGGTGCATAAGCCTTTTTCTTTTTTAGGTATGGTTCACACAGGAATATGATCCTGATATTATATGGAAAGATGTTAATCATTCAAAAAAATATCTCACAAATGGCCTATATAACATTGCGAAACATACGGAAATTAACTAATAAAGTTGTTTCCTATTTTAAAAAATGCTATTCACATGTTATTGCTCTAAACAAAGATAATGTAAGTTCTGTTCAAGATGATGTCCAAAACACTGTACCTCGTACACTTGGTGTTCACGTTAATTGTGGTGCCTGGTGCGGATTTTCCAAAAAGGGTGACTCTTTTAAACATAAATCTTTCCCTTCACAACAGCCACTTAGTGGCCAAGAATTGATGGAAGAACTTGAAAAACAAAATCCATGCACGTTATGCTTCTCAATTAGCACCGAACAGAAGTACAAAGGCAAACGAATCTTTTAATAACGTAATGGCTAGTAAAGCTAAAAAATCAAGACACTACAGATCTTCAGGGAGTCTTGATTTTAGAATTGGCGCTGCTGTTTGCCAAAATAATATTGGAATGATTAACTGGGTAAAGTATATCCCAAAAATATGCCCTGGTAAGGCCTTGATAGCTCTCACAAATCAGCTAAAAAAGCAATACATGCGTAGCAATACAAAAGCTTCTACAAAGGAGTTCAATTCTAGGTGGGTTTTCCTAAAAGATAATCGGAATAAAGTTACTTAATTTGCCCCCCGTGCGATGTATTCAGAATTCAGGCTGTTCATTTGTGTATTTTGATCTAGAAACAACCTCTGCGGAGCATGACACAGGTATATGCCAAATTAGTGCACCTTCGTCAAGTGGAATATTTAGTCAGTATGTATTGCCTGAACTAACCTCATACGCCTCAAATGTTACACACTTAACTCGTCAAGATAATGTTCTTTTGTATAAAGGTATTCTTGTTTCTACTGTTGACAAAAAAACTGGCATGGCTAAATTTATCTCTTGGCTTGAACCTCAAAAACATGTTGTTCTTGTGCCACACAATGCTAAAACATTCGATTCTATTCACATTAAAATGGGTAGCACAAGAGTGTGGGTTATTGAGTGATTTACAAAGAGTTGTTGCTGGTTTTGTTCATACTTTACTATATGAAAACAGAAAACTGTATCCACATTTAAAATGTAATAAAGCCATTTTTCTAGCCAAAGAATTGCTAGGAAAAACATATAATGCACATAATGCTATTGCGGATTATCAAATATTAGCAGATCTCAATTGTTTCATTTCAGTTTTTTTATTTCAATGATCATTAAAATATCTCGAACACTAGAGAAGTAATTATGACTTCATACAATGCAGTTGTAAACAGAAACATGGCAGAAAAGTGTGCAGCA